ACTTCCTACAGGCGGCGACGGCCGCCTGATCCGCCCGGGCCTCAAGTCCTTCTTCCGGCTTGAAATACCTCTGCATACAAAACCGATGTATCCATTCATTATTTCAATAAAAGACTTGCCCAATGAAAATGTTGTGCGAGAGAGACTTACCCAAAACTTCGCCAGTACCCGCTCCTGCTTGTTGCGGTACCTATCGTCAGGGGCCAACTGGTACCTGTCCCACGTGTAGGCCGGCTCCCGCACGTCCTCGGACACATTCACAAGGCCGGGGTACCATTTCCTACACAAAACACCAAGGATGCTCACGGGGGAGCGTGCAGGAGCACCCGACAAAACCAACCAGGCCCTGCACAAGTGATTAAGAAAATTTATCATTTCCTCTTTTGATTTCCAACATTATCATATGAAGTAGTTGTGATAACATCTATAGTTACTTACCTCTTTGCCATAGGGCGAATCAGTGCCCGGTTGCGAGGAAGCGGAGGCTGAGGGAGGCTCGCGGGACCTCGCTGGTAGACAGTCGGGGTAGCGGAACTGTCGCCCTCGACGGCCTCATCCTCGACCGCCTCGTCCTTGGTCTGTCGGACGTCCTCGTCCTCGACCTCATCCTCGGGCGTGGCCGTCACGTGCTCCTCCTCCATCACCTGGTCTGAAGGTGGCAGGGAAGGAGTCCGCTTCCTCCTCCTGACCCTGTGGATGCTACCCCTGACCCCGAACCCTCGTCTGAAACGGGAGGGCGTGGTCTCCTGTAAAGGGAGGCCGTCTCACGTCGTGGACGGCTGCTCGCCATCACCTGTAATCACAAAGAATGAACAAGACTTATTAGTATATATATTAGAAATAGATTCAAAATAAATAAAGAAAACACAAACTAAAACAAACATAGTATTACATGTATTAGGAATAATCTTCATGATTAGGATCATAGGTGTTGTCATCACGGTCAAAATTGTCCAAATGGGCAACACTATCTGAAGGTTCTATGTTGTCTTCATCGTCATTGTCTAGCCTTAATCGGTCAAGCATTTCTATGTCCTTGGCATTTTGCACCACATCTCCATCAATCTCGTCATCCTCCGTTTCGTTGTCTACTTCCATTTCGATCGCTTTGGGTAAGACTATCTCAAACGTGCCTGGTGGCCCATCTTCTTGATAGAACTGTCCATCATATGTGTTTGCGTTGAAGTTGTAATCGTCATCGTTTGGGGCAGGTAGTTTACCGTGTGGAGACACCTGGTGCACAATAGCCCAACCCTTAAGATCTGCTTTGTCTTGGTTGGCATATCGCGTATAGTACACCTGCATGGCCTGTTGAGCCACAATGTAGACATCTTTTCTTGGATAGACGGAATCTTCTCGAATCTCGACTAGCCCAAGATGAGGGGTCCGTCTCGTTTCTCGAGGATTAAACCAGTGGCATTTGAACACGACAGGTTTATGTTTGTGACCATGAAATGACCAGTGGATTATGATTGCTAGGAAGTTTCGGCTTGTAGTATAGTGTTGTGAAGTTTGCCACCTCCTCCCTTAGACTTGCCTCTGCAATGGAAGCCTCAATTCTGGCTTTATTTGTACATTTCTTGCGAAGAGTCTTTAGACATCTCTCGATTGGATAGCACCACCGAGCTTGCACGGCCCCCCCCAAATGTGCCTCGGATGGGAGGTGCACAATCAGATGCTGCATGGGCAAGAAGAAGCCGGGTGGAAAGATCTTCTCTAGCTTACAGAGCAGCACAAGTGTCGCTTTTTCCAAGTCCTGAGCGACGGTCCGAGATATCTCCTTGGCACAAAGCTGATGGAAGAAAAAGCTCAACTCTGCCAGCACTTGCCAGACATGGTCAGGGACATAGCCTCGGACCATCGCCGAAAGAAGCCGCTCAATCCATATGTGGTAGTCATGACTCTTCATCCCGTTGACTCGTAAAGTGCCTAAGTTCACTTCCCTGCTCGGATTTCCTGCATATCCATTTGGGAACATTAACGTCTTGATCCATTTTAGTACTTCCCTCCTTTGATCGGGTTCCAAGACGAAATCAACCTTAGGTCTTTTCCATTGTTTGTTTCGGCCACTAGGAGGCCGCATCTCTTGCTTCGGTCTATCACACAACGTCACTAGGTCCACTCTAGCCTTAACGTTGTCCTTAGACTTGTCAGTGTTCATGAGAGTTCCCCAAAGTGCCTCGGCGATATTCTTTTCGGTGTGCATTACATCAATGTTATGTGGCAGAAGAAGGTCATCGAAATAGGGGAGCCTCGTCAAGCCGGACTTATGAGTCCACATATGTTCCTCACCATATCCCACAAAACCACCTCCTTCATTGGGCACGAGAGCATCTATCTGAGCACACACCTCAGCACCACTCTTCATGCGTGGTTTAGGGTCTATCACTGCAACACCTTTCATAAAGTTCTTGATGTCTTGTCTGAATGGATGGTTAGAAGGGAGGAATTGACGATGCCTGTCGAACGACGAATACTTGCCACCCTTCTTCAACCAAATAAACCTCACAGCTTTCTTGCATATTGGGCACAGGAACTTCCCGTGGACACACCAGGCGGCGAATAACCCATACGCCAGGAAGTCATGCAGGGAGTAGTGGTACCAAACATGCATCTTGAAGGATGATTTTGTAGCTCGGTCGTATGTCCATACCCCCTTCTCCCAAGCGTCGATCAATTCATCAATCATAGGCTCCATGTACACACCCATATTACTCCCCGGGTGTCCAAGAATTATCAACGACAAGAAGACGTTATGCCGTTGAAAGGAGATGCTAGGGGGGAGATTCAGGGGGATAACAAACACGGGCCAACATGTGTATGGGGCAGACAACTGTCCATAAGGATTGAACCCATCTATTTCCAGCGCGACACGTACATTACGAGCCTCAGCTGCTTCGTCAGGATGTTTGTCATTAAAGTACGTCCATGCTTCGGCATCGGACGGATGCATCATCGTCCATGGCTTGTACCATACACCTTCTTTATGCCATGTCATCTGTTTCGTGGATTCCTCGGTCATGAAAAGCCATTAGATCCTCGGCACAAACGGAAGGTGCCGTAGGACTTTCGTGGGGATCGTAAGCTGCCTCTTCTGACCATCTCCAAAGTCTACCTCCAGGTACCTTGAGGATTTACACTTCGGACAGTACTTTGCATCCTTGTGATCTTTCCTAAATAAGACGCACCCCTTCGGACAAACATGTATCTTGTCATATGGCATCTTAAGCATACGAAGTAGTTTCTGTGACTCGTGCAAGTTCTTCAGCAGAATGTGCTTCTCCGGTAGCATGCTGCCAAACACGGCCAACATCTTATCAAAGCCTTCGCGACTCAGATTTAACTCGGCCTTCAACCCCATAACACATCCAATGGCATCCAGCTGAGAAACCGTTGTACTCTCATGAAGGGGTTTCTGTGCCGAGTCCAACATTTAGTAGAAGGCCTTAGCAGCTTCCTCCATCTCCTCCTTCTCACGTCCTTCTGCGAAGTGAGCTTGGTGAGTGTCATCTAGCATGTCTGCTACTCTGGCATCATCATCAAAAGCCTCGAGGCGTGGTCTCACCACCTCCGCTCTTATACGATCTGCTTCACCATGGTGTATCCACCGGTGGTAGCCAGCCGTATAATCATTGTACACAAGATGTTTACCCATGGTCACCTTGTCTACCCTTCTGTTGTTGTCACATTTGCTACAGGGACACCAAAGTTTAGAATGTCCTTTAGCTACACCCGAGCTCCATGCATGTTCCAAGAAAGCATTTGTCCCATTCACCCACTCAATGTCAAAGCCATTCCTGCTTCTCCGGCCCGTGTACATCCACTGACGGTCTTCCATCCTTCCACATATACAGCACATAGTAATGTAACCATCAATTGCATCTACGCGGTGTTCCTACTCTCTAATAGGTGAGGATAGGTCCTAATCCCACCCGCGGATGCGTAGATGAGGTTAGTTTCCATGTTCCGCTCCCTATCCGAGACAGAATTTCGGCAGCACCTCCCCGCCGTTCTCCCGATACACGTCCTGCAAGGGAGAGTGTGTATCCAGAGAACAACAAGGAGGTGATGCTGAAATTCTGCCTCAGACCGGAGCGGATCATGAAAACTAACCTCATCTACGCATCCGCAGGCTGTCTAAAAAATGTGGACAATCCGAAACAGATACGGTCGCATATATGCAAAGATCCGCATACCTCCAACCGTATCTGTTTCGGACGGGAGACGCCTAACTGGGTTACGCGACCTACGACCATGATACGGATAGAGGGGTTATACCAAAGGTGCCGGTGAGGTCAAGCTAGCGGGGCGGTGTCGAGTCGGTGCAGTGGCGAGACGACGCGGTGCAGGCAGACCCGCAACGCCCACGAAGATGATCGGGGTCCTCTGGTCCCCTCCGACGGATCCTCTGCAATATAAAAAGGTAACAGGTTAGTATTTGTTAAAAAATTCGGCAGCACCTCTCCTGCACAGTGAGGTTCCCATAACCTGCAAAAAAGAACGGCACGAAGGCCGACATTCACAATGGCATGAAGGCCGACAACGATGGGCAGCTGTGTTTGCATGGGCTTGCAAGTGAGATTCCTGCTGTATGTAGTGTACAGTATTAACGGTGACTTTGATGCTTCTCTGCCAAATGGAAGCCTGTCACCTGTGTGTCTGCGTTAATTAAGCCCTTGTCGTGCAGCGGTCAGTACATACCATGGCTGACGAATCATATGGATCTCTATATATACTAGCAGGCTTTCTTGGAAAAGTTCACCTTTAAATTTATACATATGATTTTTGTTCCTAGCCTATACCTGCACCGCCAAGACTCTTTGCCGAGTGCCCGAGCATTTTCCCTCGGCAAATCCTCAGGCCCTCGGCAAAGATGCTCTGTCCGGTAGTGTACAAAGTCATTTGCTTTTTCCATATTTCACAGCAGCAAAGAGTTGGACAGATCCGTTGTCCAAGGATTTGAATGGTTTGCAGATGGCACGACTGATTTTCTTAGATTCATGGAGCTTGGTGGCACACCACGCCGTCACCTGACCTTCAACTCCCTTGTCAAGCACCTTTTTGAAGGTAAGGGGCTATATTATAAAATAGTTCGTGGAAAGGAATATCCATCTTTTCTTCTATGGTTGGTGCCCTTCTATACTGGAGAGAATGGAATAGAGGTTACTGTGATATTTATACACAAAGACAATAATGCACCAGAGGGTAACTTCTTCTTTAATATAGTACTACAGCTTTCAGAGAGTACAGACATAATTGGGATCGCAATTAAGTGCTCCCAGTTGTTTGCCCCTCATTTCGTGTGTGTAGTTGAAAATGTTAGGAATAAACTTACTAAGTTAACTACTCAAGACTTGTCAGTTGTGCCATCTGTTTATTCATACCCGGAAGGACATTGGAACAATCTAAACAACCTTGCTTCTCAATGGTTTCGATCAAACCCCTTATGTTGCAAGCAGCAAGCTCGGCACAAGGTTCAACATTTTAGCAACCTAGACATTTCAGGATTATCAGATGTTTCACTAGAACCAGTAATTGCAGTGAATTTGCAGTGTCAAGTTTCACTGTCAGTGTACAACAAACAAAAAAGCTTGCTGCCTGAAGATAATGTTTTTTTGCAAGATTCTCAACATTTGAAAGTTGGAATTATCTTCGCACCCCATGGCTCATTAGAAGACATGCTGTCTATGAATAAAAGTTCTTCAATAGTGGAAATGGTTGGCAAGGGGCAAAATTGCTTGCATACAGACATTACCTTGGAACAACTGCAAGATATCATGCTGCCAAAGGCAATAGATTACTTCTGCCAGAATTTTGATGCAACGGTCTGCCAAATGATTTCGAAGTCCAAGCATGGCTCCGCACTCATTCAGGTTGAGAAGGCACTTGTGAGCACACGGAGAACGTGTATGAGAACACAGAGAACTTCTACAGGAGCTAGAAAAGGAAAGCTCTTTCAAGGACAGGATCATGAGCTTTGGAGTTTGACACATGTAATCTCTCACTTGCATGACATTTGGGGTGCACATATGCCCGTTCAGCTGCAAAGTTCGTTCAAGGACTGGATTCAGAATCAAAAGGAAAGCCAAAGCCAGTTATAAGCTCCAAAGCAACACCTGCAGTTCTAAATCATGTAATATGGATCGATATGGGAAGCAGGGGCTACAAAAGATTATAATTGGAACTTTTCTTATGAACATCTGACATATTGACCATGGAGTTACTAGACGTAAATAAGGACAAACCAGTGAAAAAGTCATAATATAGAATAAAGATACCCTTATAGCAAAGTATTGTGATTTTTAATTTGTATGCCTGTATGTTTCTATTTCTCTGGCAGGGAGAGGGTAGGTTTGTACCGGGATGGTACGGTAATATAAGTTTAGGGAGCTAAATATGCAGTTTGCAAGTATTAGGATCAAAATAAGAACTCAGGACAAGTTTAGGGAGGTAATATGCAATTTGCATGTTCCAGGACCGGGACTAGGGTGAGAACTTTGGACAAATTTAGAAAAATAAAGGTCAAGTATGTAATTTGTAAGTACTAAGACAAGAAGTTAGGACAAGTTCAAGGAATGTCAGTCAAATTTAATCTGTTGATAATATAATGGCTTTGTACGATTGATCTACCATCATATATTTGTATAATCTTCTCAAGTTGTCACCGTCCAGAATATATATATATAAATCAGGATAACGCTTCACTGCTGCCTACCGTGCAATTCAATCGAGTTGTAGTTGTAGGTCCTTACAGTCGGTAAGCTAAATCCTTTCAATTGATCCAAATTTCATCAGTGAAGCAGAATATATATGATTCAACACTTGTTTCGGTTACAAAGATGATGCAAATTAATATTATGATATTCTAAGGCTTACTGGAAAAGTGGGGACTCCCATTTTTGGGCTAGTCTTATGAATGTGAAACAAAATTTCCTATGTTTTGATCCTTCACAATCAAACATGGATCGCAATGATTTTGGGTGGACAAGTGGTTAGCAAACGCACCTTTGAGTGAACAATATCCTTACTTATACAATATTGCTAGACACAAGCAACACACTATAGTTGATGTCTTTAGCCCATCTCCTTTAAACATTTCATGGAGACGTCATCTGATTTGGCCTAAATTAACATCCTATAATGAGCTTGTTTCTCGCATTGCTAATATCACGCTAACACAAGAGCAAGACGACTTTCGCTGGAGCTTGGACCGGAAGGGCCAGTTCTCGGTTAAATCAGATTATTCGGCTTTGATTCACCTAGAGGTTCACAACTTAAACAAGATCATTTGGAAGATAAAGGCCCCACCAAAGATAAAAAAAATTTCTTTGGTACTTTTGATGGGGAGTGATTCTAACAATAGATAACTTAGCCCAACGTAATTGGCAAAACAGTGAAACGTGTTGATTTTGCCACAAAATGAGACAATTAAGAACATTTTCTTTGAGTGTCCTTTTGCACGTGTGATTTCAAGTTGTATACATGTTGCTTTATACCTTCCTGAAGCACTTAGTACATTATTAAAAAAAACTGAGATGTAGTTACAAGAACAGTTACCATTTGAAAGAGATTTATAAAGCAATAGCAACTGAGGTGAGTGTGGACTGTGGAGGCTCACCGGCTGCGACAGGCAGACGTACACCCACCGGCCGCGCTACTCGTCCCACTCCACCGCGCAGCGCCCGCGCCCGTAGACACATAGCGGGGCCCGCTCAATGTATTCCACGATGCGGATGAAGTCCTCGTCCTCCTCCTCGTCGCCGCAGGAGCTGGCGTCGGCGAAGTCGAACGGCTGCCTCAGTTGGCGCCCGTGGATGGGCGGGGGGGGGCAGGCGGGCTGGGCGGGCGGCCCGGTGGAGCCGGGCGGCGGGCGAGGGGGCCGCCGGTGGTGGACGGCGCGGGGGGGAGGGGCTGGCGGGAAGGCCGCCACGGTGGAGTCCGGGGCCGGCGCGCCTGCTGAGAGGCCGCACGGCCGTGGTGGCTGGGGTGGAAGAGGGGGGCCGGCGTGGGGCGCAGTGGAGTCGGGGCGGCCGGGCGCAGCTACAGGAGTCCGCCGGCGGTGGTGGCTAGGGTGGAAGAGGGGGGCCGGCGTGGGGCGCGGGGTGGCCGCCGGTCGGAGCTGAGGTCGGGAGGGCGGCCAAAGGCGGGCGGCGGAAGGGGCGCCACCAACGGCGCGGCGTGGCGGGCGGCGAGGTGAGCGGCGGCGGGGGTAAAGAACCGAGCACGGGCGCGGGCCGGATGGAAAAAGAGGGATTTTGGTGATTTTAGGCCGACGTCAGTTTTTTAGGTTTTGGGCCTTTGCCAAAGGCCCAGATCCAGGGCCCTCGGCAAAGATGTTTTTATTTTTTTTCAAAAAAATTCTTTGTCGAGTGCCTCTGGCCCAGCACTCGGCAAAGACAGTCTTTCCGAGTGTGCTGTAACACTAAATCAAATGTTTCAATTTTTTTTACCCCAAATTTTTTTGTTGGGCCCGTCTACATTGTTTACAACTTCATGTTCAAATTTGGTGATTTTTCTAGTTTTTTTATATTTGGTTGATTAATTTGATTATGTTGAATTTTTAAATATAATTCAAATTTGAACATAAGTGCATGGAATATTGTAATCTAGTGCTTCAAAAAATGTTATTCATGGTATTTGGTGTATGTTGAGTCTCTATCCACATTCTCAAACTCGCATCAAATTTCATGCATCTTCTTCACGTAACAAGGCGATGGACTTTATATAATTTTTTAACACTTATATAAAGTGGCTCGAAGTCATGTTACGTGAAGAAGATGCGCGAATTTGCCATTCGTGGATAGAGAGTCAATGGTACACCAAATACCATGAATAACATTTTTCAAGCACTAGATTACAATATTCCATGCACTTGCAGCTCAAATTTGAATTATATATAAAAATTCAACATAATCAAATTAATCAACCAAATATAAAAAAAAACTAGAAAAATTACCAAATTTGAACATGAAGTTGTAAACAATGTAGGCGGGCCCAACAAAAAAATTTGGGGTAAAAAATTGAACATTTGCCGAAAAGCCACCTTGGCACTTCGGCAAAGACCTGCTTTTTACTAAGTGCATTTGAGAGGCATTCGACAAAGAATTTTTAAAAAGAAAAATTTCAAAAACGGTTAAAAAGTCTTTGCCGAGGGCCTAACGGTGATGCCCTCGGCAAATATTGACGACAGGGGATGGACGTCGTGTCAGGCGGTGTTGCCGAGGGCCGGACCTTAGCCCTCGGCAAAGAATTATTGTTACCGTGTGCTTGTATTTGCCGAGGGTCTGGCCCTCGGCAAAGAGTCTTTGCCGAGGGCCGTTCTTTGCCGAGTGCCCGAGCATTTTCCCTCGGCAAGTACTCAGGCCCTCGACAAAGATGCTCTGTCCGGTAGTGGTTGATGTTCATGGTGTAGTCAGACAATTGTTGAGAAGAGGTACATCCATTGAACAAGTACATAAATACAAGTAATAGACCATTAGTCGAGAAGAGGTATATTACGAAAACATGATAACAATTTGTACCAAATCTGCTAGTTGATGTTCATGATGTAGTCAAAGAATTGTTAGGGAGAGGTACATCCATTGAACAAGTACATAAATACAAGTAATAGGCGAATAGTCTAGAAGAAGTATATTACTAAAACATGATAACAATTGTACCACCGCCTGAATCTGTTCTTATTTGGTACAAAAGATTTTTTATTGAAAGTAAATAAATACGCAGCAACACAGTGCTAGGCATTTATTAAAATAACAGAATCAAATAAATTAAGGTAAACATATACGAGCATAGAGAATACATGAGCTTTAGTAACTTGAGAAATTAAATTAATATAACCAGGAAAAACAAGGCGGGTAAGGGTAATATGATAAACATAATTATAATTGATAACAATATGCAGAATTAGATAAAATTGTCCAAAAGGATTGATTCAAAGTAGTGGTGCGTAAAAGTGTTTGGCCGGTACTCAAGTGTTGTTAAATACAGTATCAACTACCTTTTGGAATGAAAAACTGATTTATTTGGTTAAAGAATACATCATACTTTCAGATGTTAGATGGGTACATATGAAGAGTTTTAAAAAATGCCGAGAATTGATAGCATGAAAGTTGAGGAAGAGGAAAATATTGTGTAAAAGAGAAATTAACATAGCACTCTTTAATACTGAACGCACTTAGCCCAGCTCCTAATACACACAAAGCACTCATTAATCTGTGGTCTTTCCACATGCTTTCCACATTTTTTATACTCTTAACTAACACTAATGAAAATTGCACTAGTAGAATACACTTAAGTTTATTGCTTATAAATTTTTGCAGTAAATATGTGATAAGCTGACCTCAACAAATGAGGCTAAATGCTCAGTGCTAAATATGCAGATGCCATGCTCTTGTGCAATACAGTCAGAATCTCATGGGTCTCACATAATATAAGATCCAAAATGTAATGCCTACACGATAGGGGAAAATCCAAACTGAGCTAAATATAATGTCATCTACAAAACCTCTTGTCATTGCTGTAAAAGGAAAAGGATAGCTCAGACGGAAAACAAAGGCACAGACCAAAAGCGTGAAAATCAAAAGGGACAAACAGTAGTTGATAAATTTAGGACTGAAATTCAAAACAAAGGTGAGGAATCTAGTGGTTTCACCCTTGTTGAAGAAACAGCTTACAGATCTATGGACGAGCATATCGAACAGCTTACAGGTCTATTTTAAGTATTTCACAATGTGTACATAAATGGGAGCAAATTGAAGTGGTTAGACATCTCACGGTAAAAAAAAAAAAGTAAAGTATAATACTGCCAGATTTTCTTTAGGAAAAAAGTGAAAATTGCAAGAACTATTATAGATCAATATACTTCTTGAAAAAAATTGTATCTCACACTTTGCCTCCCCTCGACCATACTAAAATGTTGTTTGCAAAAAAGGAGAAATTCCTCAGTGCACTTTAACAAATAAAATGTTGTGTGATAAATTCTTTTACCACTGTAAATATAAATTCTTCTATGTTTGAAATCTTTGTTATGTGTACAACAGTACATGTATGTTTAACCGTGAACAAAGCAGTCACTCATGTGCCACAGATGCAAGAATCAAAA